CCCCCCTAAGAACCCACTTGCATCGTGGTCGCCCGCCGCCAAAAATGCGATACCTTGACACAGACGCTGAAGCCCACTATACCGCAGCCTTAGGGCTGTGAACTCCAACCCTAAGTCTCCCCATACCTCCCCCATCCCCAAAAGTTTCTCAGCAGATTTAGGGTGTACTCAGCAAGCGCAGTACAGCCCACAACTCAGATTTGAAAAAGAAATAGTGGATGGTTGTTTTGTGACTGGTCGGCAGACTGCCGACTGGTCGGCCCTCCTGGTCGGCTGCAATACGGTCGGCTCTCCTGGTCGGCTGCAATACGGTCAGCTGTCTGGGTCAGCGGTCGGCAGGGATGCAACCCTGTATATATATATATTTGACGATATCACAGCCCCTCGTTTGTTGTCCTCTTCCCCCTCTCTGCCTACGGTTTACTGGCAGCTCTGTTTGACGATATATATCATCAAACAGAGCTGCCCTGTAAACCGTAGGCAGAGAGGGAGAAGAGGACAACGAACGAGGGGCTGTGACAAACTGTTTTGTCGGAGTTTCACCGACTCATCAGGAGGCTGAACCCTCAACAGTCTGCAGAGCCCCCTAACTGATCTTATTACTCTGAAAGTGATAATCCACCTTAACCCTGGCTGTGGTTAAGCATCAATGACTTCCCGGCAACTAATACCTTGAGGTGGGCACCAACACACTGCCCTCAAGGTGCTTGTGACGGAAATCAAAGCAGACTATCACTCACCCACACCAGATGGAAAACTGTACGGACTATCAGTTCACACCCCATCACAAGCCAGCAAAACACGCACGAAACAAAGAAAGGTCTGTCACAGCCAAAAAATACACTCCAGACACGCCGCTGGCTCTAGAGGCACAGCATGGTCGCTTAGTGACGGGCCCGACCACTGCCACTCGACCTGACCGGAGAAAACCGTAGCAGGGTACTAACGAAGTCATGGTATGTATCGTCAAACAGAGCTGCCCGGTAAATATATATCATTCCTCTGGCACCGTAGTGCAGCAGTACAATGTCTGTCTCTTATACACATCTAGATGTGTATAAGAGACAGGCCTATATATAATGTGTTGTATCAGCAAAGCGGTGTG